TCTAAATGAGACCTAGGATCACTTCAGTAAAAAAATGAATGTAGTGATGGTTAAATGCTCAAAGATGGGGAATTAATACTTATGTAGATTTTTGACAACTATAATTGATGTGCATTATTGTTAGTGCGTCATCTCTATAGTAATAGTCTAATCCTACACAAAGACACTGGCTCTGTCTAGTTCAAAGAGGAGACTGAGGAGCAACCTCACTGCTCCCGGCAGGTTCCTGAGGAAGGGGTGTGGAGGGGACAGTGCTGGGCTCTTCTCCCTGGGAGCTGGGGACAGAATGCCTGAGAATGGCTCAAAACTTTTCCAGGGGACATTCAGACTAGACATTATTAAGGAAGCATTTCTTTACCAAGAGAGTGGTGAAACACTGGAACCGGCTTCCTAAAAGATGGTTGATGCCCCAGGTATGTCGGTGTTAAGAGGCACTTGGATTGTGCCTTTAATACTATATTTTAACAATTTTTCAGCCGTGAAGTGGTAAGGCAATTGAACTAGATGATCAGTGTTGATCCTTTCCAAATGAACTATTCTAGTCGAGTCTAGTCCTGATGCTATTACACTTTAGCTAGGGAAGAGGTCCGAGAATCTCAACTTGGTGATACTAAGGTTTTTCAAAAGGGAGTAAGTACATTCACTTATTATTAATCATAAATGCCATTCCCAGTATATCACCCTGATTTTTTTGTTGTTGTTTTTTTTTGTTTGTTTGTTTGTTTGTTTGGGTTTTTTGGGGGTTTTTTTGTGTATGACTCACCCTAAAGTTAATTGCTTGGCCTGGCCTGGAGGAAGTACTAGCTTGAAATTCAACAAAAATCTAGCATGGAACAGAAGCATTGTTCTAAGTCAGAGTAACTTGGTAGAAGTATTGCCATTGCTTCCTCTCAAATCCCTGCTAAAATTTCTTGATAACTTTGCATCTCCAGGAATTCTATCATCCACTAGTTTTTTAAGTATTATAAGTTTTAGCACTTCCTGTGTAAGGAAGAACATGCATGTTCAGGTGACATACTAGAATTTTTCTATTTTGAGTTTAAAACTCTGGTCTGTGGAGGTAAGCAATTATAAGAGTTGTTGTTACCAACTGAGATAGAATACAGCTAGAATTCGGATACATGATTGCAACTCCCCTGTACAAATATAGAGCAAGAGAGTGTTTTACTGTTTCAAGTCAAGTGGTAAAGAGAGCAAAAAAAGAGAAATACATAGCTGTCCTGCCTGAACTTATCACCATGGCAAATGACGAGTGGAACTGGTAATAAGCCCGTGCTTTCTGCTCTTAGCCGCATGTCCTGATCAGTAGGTCTTGTAGCCTCCCATCCCAAAAGAATCACTAGAAAAGGAGAGAAGGCAAAGATGAAGCAGAGGGCAAGTTAGGAGAAAAACACACATACATCTGCCCTGTTTAGCCTATTTGCCAAAGGAAAGGAGGCTTATAAATCAGTTGTACGTGGTTCTGTGTTCCTCAGTGATACTTAAACCTTTTCATTAAGTATAGGAAAGCAGCGGGAGGTCTCAGCATTAGAACTTTTTAACAGTCTTGTAGAACTTTTAAACAGTCTTGTAAAGACTGGTGAGAGAAGTAACTATTTCTCCAATGCACCAATTTTCTTCTTAATAGAAGGCAAGTTAATCGTGCAACCAGGAGAACAGCTTCTACTGTTGCTTGCTTGCATTGCAGATCACTGAGAATCCACCCAAAAGACAATACAAGAGAAACTGAGATCTACTCACTTCCCTGCTTATAGGAATGTTTATTTTATTGTGCTAAGTAGAAGAAATTATAATAATTCCTCAATCCATTAAACATCTGTTCACTGAAATGCATAAATAACATGAACCAAGCAAATTACAGAGCCTAGCTTTTTAGAAGACTATCACATTTATCTAGCAGGTGGATTTTTTTTTTTAAAGAAAATAAGGTCAGAACTATAATTGGCTTTGGGATGGGCAAAGAGAATATCTGTTAGGAAAGCAGAATGTGAAAAGCTGAAATAAGTTAAAGTGACAACATAATATTTTGATTATTCAAATAGAAACATGAAAGCCTTTTCAGTCCTATTGGAGTAAGCTACATTACATTGAAATCCTAGCACTGGGAAAAGTTTGTGCCACATTTTAAAATTCTATGCAGACTACTCTAAGGACTCAGTAACTGTTCAGTCTAACTTCACAGTAAGGTCAAAATGAGAAGGGCTTCAAAAAGAGGAGGGGATGACCCAGTACAGTTTTTGTCATCAGGGAAGTTTGTGACAACTTCAGGACAAGACAGAGATGGCTGGACAAAAATGAAATCAAATCTCTCAATACAGTCTTGAATTGGGCTACATTCTTTTCACCTATCTATGCACTTCACACCATTGAGGCCTCTTCCCCAACCAGACAGAGTACCATTTTGATGTTGTAAAAACTGAATTCTAGTACTTTAAACTTTGACTGGATATATCATATTGACTCTTTGGGGTTGCTTTTAAAATTTTTCCCCCTGGATTTTGCAGAGGCAGAAATAATGTTTAATTCTGAAACCTTCTCTACGAAGTTTTATTAACTTGATGGTTGGACTCACTGTGCACATTTGCAAAATTATAATTGTTAGCAATTTAAGTGGCTAATCATGTACTTTAGAAGTTTACACTAAACAGTCCTGTTACAGGGATAGCAGTTTCTGTTACTGCTATGTAAATCCTAACTATATTTTAAAGCTACTTCTTAGTACTTGGTATTTTGAAATGCTTTTTAAATTACATTATAAACAAGTTCCTATTAAAATAACACTATTAGTCATTAAAAATAGAAAATTCTAAAATGTATAAGGGTAACTGGACTTCTGTGACATGCATGGTGATCGAATTTTTTAATTGCAGATGACAGGATCATTTTCCATAGGACTTGCACCTTGTTCAGTGCGCCAGTATTCACCTAATGAGCTGCTAAGCAGCACTTTGTCCATTCTTTCTGAATGCTGTCTCTTAATCCAGCAAAATCTATTCCTTCTCCCTTCTCATTATTTTTTTATCAAGTCTTATTGTGTGCTGACAAGTAACAGTTTCCTTGGTTAGTTCCCATCCTCATATCTTACTTATCTTTTACCTACTCTTAAATTTATTCCCTTCCATAGAAGCTGAGGCCTAGCTGGTTTTTTTGTTCAGCCTATCCTAGCCGTCACCTCACGAGATGTTTTCCTGAGCATTCCTCTCTTTTCTGTAAGCTTTTTTCCTTCTATCCTCATGTCACATGATCTTTTCTTCCATTTGTACTGGAAGCCAATGGGAGACCTGTTTCCCAGGTTCTTCCTGTGACTTCCTACAGGTTATAGAGAAAGAAGTATAAACAGTCAGTACAAAGGCACAGATGTACATGCAATTGAGTCACACAAGGGAACCATAAAATTTACAGCCTGTTCAACCATGAACATTAGAAAAATTGCAAAAGTGCATGTGCAAACAAGTGTTAGCATAGGGGTGGATGCTGCACTTCTCTGTCACACTATCAAGCTGAACACTGGCAATCCTAGGGATTTTTTTCTGATTGTTTAATGTGGAAACCAGAAGGAATTATGCTCTTTTGCTCCACTCTAACATAACACAAAGGAAGCAAGGGAAGGGGGGGAGGGCAGTCACCAACAGTGGCTATTCTATTGTTTTCCTCTCAAAAACTTGGCAAAGCAACAAGCTAGACACAGCTGAAATGTGCTGGCTAAAAACTTCTCAAAACTTTCATCTGAGACAGACACAAACCATCCCTAATACCATCATAGGGAAAGTTTGTCAAAGCCACAGATACCTGAGAAAAGGGTTGCATAAAAAAATAAAATATTACTAATCCCTGTACGTGTACAACATTACCAGTACTGCCTACAATTCTGATTCACATGCTTTTATGCATACGATGCATGAATGAAAAATTAACGGTATGCTCTAAATGCATATTTTGGTTTGGGGTTGTTATTTTGTGCTTGCTCAAGGAACACTTCCTTGATTTTGGTATTTTTAGAAGTACATCATTTGATTTCAAAACAGGTCTACAAAAATTGTCTCAGCTCAAATATGATCTCCCATACTGAGGAAATTAGGAGTTGGAGGGCTCTTTGTTCATTAGTTTGCATTTGAGATTTTTTTTGTTTTTTAAATCCATTCATGGCTTATTTGCCATTTCAAGTCAGAAAGAAATCCCCTTACTAACAGACTTCCCTCCATTTATCATGATCAAAAACCAGTCATATTTCATTGTCTTGAGGAAGGTAACAGACTACAGGAAAGGATCTGGGCATCTTGGGGGACACGAAATTAAACACGAGCCTAAATGTGCCCTTCCTGAAAAGGTGAGTGGTATCCCAGGTTGCACGAGGCAGATGGAGGGAGGGGACCCCTGCCCTCTGCTCAGCGCTGCTGAGGCCACACCTGCAGGGCTGTGCTGAGTTCTGGGCTCCCCGGTTTGGAAGACATGAACACAGTGGAGAGAGGGCAACAAAGGGCCGCAAGGATGATGAAGGGACAAGAAACCATCTCTCCTAGGAGGAAAGGCTGAGAGAGCTGGAACCGTTCAGCCTTGGGAGAAGAGGCAGCTCGGCGGATCCCGTCCACCTGAACTAACACCTGCAGTGGCAAGAGGACGGGACTAGGCTCTTCCCAGTAGTTTTAGTCCTTCTTCCCCCAGGGCTTAGCGGCCACAGAAGCAACGCTCGTCCTGTGTACCACCGCCGCTCCCAGCCTGAGCCATAGCACTCTGACACGGTCCTACCCTCCATTCGCGCAGCGGAGTATTTTAAGCTTTTTCAAGCTCCGCTTTACCCGAGAGGCACGGGAGTGGGTGGGCGGGGGGGTTTGAGGCCTCCCGGAGAGGACGCGGCGTCGGCCCCGGAAGGAGGGGGGGGGGTGACGTGCCGCCGCCGCGGGAGGCCATGGCGGGGGCTCTGCCCGCGGCGCCGCGGGGATTCCTCGGGGCGGGGCGTCCTCCGGCTGCCACAGACGCGCCGCTGCTGGCCCCGCCCCTATATAAGGGGCGGCCTCAGCGCGGCCCTGACCGCGGCCGTCGCGTCTCCCGTACCGACCTGCGTTCGGGAACCATGGCAGGTCAGTGTGCGCCCGCCCGGCTCGCGCCGCTCTTCGCGAGGGCCGCGCTCGCGGAGCCGCCCCGCGGCAGCGGGATCTCCGCGGCGGGATCGCCGCGGCCGCGCCTATTTTTAGGCAGCCGTCCTGGCGGCGAGCTGGCTTCGGCTGGTGGGGGCAGGGGCTGCTCGCGGGGGGTTCAGAGCCGTCCCGCCGGGCACCGCTGTGCGGTTTGAGAGGACGCGTACGGTGCCGGCTCTTTCCGCCCCTCTCTCGATGCTCTGCCCCAGGCTCCGTCCCCTAACGGGAGAGATGTCGCCCGCGTGGCGGGGAGCAGGATGGGCCGGAGAGGCCACTGTAGGGGTACAGCGGCTCACAGGGGAAAACCCAGCCCTCTCCTGAAACGCCGAGAGAGCTTGAGATTTCTGTGATTTTGATACTTTGCAGTGAATAGGTCCTTACGGCTTTCCACGTACGTGTTACTTCTTTCTTCCGTTTTTTTGTTTGTTTTGTTGTTTGGGGTTTTTTGTTTGTTTGTTTTGTTTGGGGTTTTTTGGGGGTTTTTCTTTTTTTCCCCGATTTTCACCTAAAGTTGTCAGCAAAGTCGGTTTCATTTTCAGGTCTGGAAGCCTGCAGGAAGTCTGCCCTCCGATGCATGTCTTGATAAGATGCTCCTGTCTCTCTAGGAATCCTGTACTCAAAAAACAAATGAGATATACTAGCACCTAACTCAGAGAATAGGAGAAAAGGCAAGCACCTGTGAACTCTGGCTATGCCTAGGACAAATCTTCCAGGAGAGTTTTTTAAATGATCTGGGGCAAGCACTCCAGTAACCTCTGCAAGCCATCAAATGAAAGATTGCTTTTAGCTCAGACTTCCAGGATGCTAGTGGGTGTGTAAGGGCTAACACAAAAACTCTTGCAGAGATATTATAGCCTATGAACTGGGCAGCCAGAGAGTTCTCTGAAGTAGCATGGTTTTGTCTGGGTAAGTCAATTAGGAAGCTGGGCAACTGCCTCTCATTCTGTGTGGTTTTGAGGACATACTCTCACCAAGAGTTCATTATGTTTCAGGCCTAGCAGTGGCTGCTGTGTAAACACAAGATTCTGTGAAGAAAGTGTTTACAGAGAAGGGGAAAAGGATGAGAAGGGAGACCCACACAGCTGAAATACTTGATGTTTTGGTAGAATGGACTAGTCTTTTGCAGATATAACTTCCATAGTAAGCACCAACTGGTCTTGCCCAAATTGTAGCATGAGGTCATGTACTTAGAAATTATATGGAATAGAACACTTAGGTACGATATATAGATGATATTGAACACAGGGTGATATAGAGTAGATAGAATAGAAACTTTAGATATAGAATAAAACATAGTTAATTCAAAACTTTGGAAAGTTATGCTGACTTAGATGGTCTCCAGGATGGCAATATTAACCTCCTGTCAAGCAGTTGTAAAGTTTCCTCCTAGAGTTGGGACGCAGTAGGGTTCTGCATCATTAAATTGACTTTATTTCCCTAAAGACCTTCGTGTGTGTGTGTGAATATTCAGTTTCAAGAAGATGAGACAGAGTAGAAGTGTACCTGCTAACAGGTCAATGAAGAAAAGATCTGTCTTTCAGTGGCAGGGTCGCTTTAAGAATTAGTGCTACACTGCTAGGGAGAAAATACCCAAACAACATTCAGATGAATATTGGGCACAATCCCACTTTGTCTACACTGGATTTTTAGTGAGATTTTTTTTTGAGAGCAGAGTGTCAGACTTCCATGTATTGAATGGTAACATGTAAATTACCTAGTGAAAAACCCTGTCCTATTAGGAGGCTGTTTATACAACTTAAAATATTACACTCTTGCCCTTTAAAGAAACATAAGTTGTTCTGCAGATTTGCTGAATATGAACTAGTACAAATAGGCAGCTAAAAGTGAATTGAAACAAAATATCTTTATTCCTGGCATTATAGAAGCTTTTTTTATCTTTGTGATTGACCACTATAATCTAAATCCCTTGGGACTAGTTGGTTTTGCTGCTAAGCAAAATAGAAGGTTTTGTAGCTGGTCTATAGATCTTGCAGACCAGGTTTGCAAAGCTTATAGGCAATTATGGTACGTGATTGTCTGTCGTCAACTGTTAAGGGAGTATTAAGTTAAAAAGATATTGAGGATGACTGCCTCGTGAGTTTAGGCGTTGTGCCAAACAACAATTTTTCTGAAAGGAGTCAGTATTTTAATCTTGCTACTAGGCTTGATAGTAAGCCTTTAAATGCCCAGAATTCTCACTCTGATCTAACCTAGTTAACAGCTTTTGTAATGGAAAGAAATCAAAGTTGATAGAATAAATTTGACTCTTGAAATTCTTATGAAGAAACTGTTTTGTTGATAAAGTGAAAATGGATTGGTAGGAAAGACCATGCTTTGTAAAGCGATATAACTTTGAAAGGAGGTCTACATTAAAATAGCTAACAGTGAACTGAAGAGCTTTTATAAGTTACTTGTTTGCTTTTATGAGTCCCCCTCTGGCAGTTTAAAACAACATGAAAGAAGGAAAAGCTTGTATAATATGGCTTCAATATTATATAGGGTAAGACAGTCTGTCTTAATCTATATTTAAGATACAGCTGGAGCAGGAGATTATAGTATCTCTTTTTGCTCAAAGAGTAAAAATTGTTCCTGCAAGTTCTAAATTGCTTTTTGTATTACTAGTTACTTCCCGTTTAAATCTTGCATTCTTGTGACAGAGCTGCAATCATGTGTTGCAGAACAACTCATCTGCAAAATCCTGAGCTAGCAAAACTTAAATCTGTTGTCTAAGATATAATCCAATGCTTACTTTCATTTAAAAATGAATTGCAAGTTTTACGCTGCTTTAGCTTCAGGGTTGAGAGCTGAACCTAGAGAAACTCTACATCCACTAACTTTAGGCCAAAAGCAAGCCCACAGACTCCAAACACTTTTTGTATAATAGCATATTAGTGGCCTAAGTAGAGCTCTTTAGAATTTTGGATTGTGTCTACTTTTGGCATGACTTATTTAACCTGTGGGCAAATTTGAACTGGTGCTCTCTTGAAACAGTCTTGATTTTGTGGGTCATTTTACTGCATTTTGCCATGTGTCAAGTTACCAATAGCAAATATAGCTATGCAAACAATCTGCTTCATTGAGTCCCTGTACACAGAATTAAAGGGCACATCTTAGAGGCCTCACTGCAAGATTACCTAACAATACTAGGTTTCTAATGTATCTGTCTCAGAATAAAGTAGCGGATTGTGCTAACTTGACCACGTTCATTTCTTCCAGACCAGTCTTTTGTGACTCTAGCCACAAATGACTCCTATGTGAAAGGAGCGCTGGTACTTGGTTCATCCTTGCAACAGTATAGAACAACAAGGAAGCTGACTGCACTCATAACTCCTCAGGTATCAGATCTTATGAGGTAAGGTCACTTAAATGCTTCAGACTGCAACAGTTCCTGCTCATGTGCAGGTTGAAAAATGGAAGTTAACTTTCTTAATAGTAACCTTTCAAAGCTCTGGAAGCTAAACAGCTAATTTCAGCAGAACTCAACTTATCTGGAGTTCTAGAAGTTCTTCAAACATGAAACTGTTTATGTTTTGGTGTGTTTTTTTTTTCTTCCCTACGATGAGTTGAACAAATAGTCTGCAGTTAGAGCTCTAAACCATGACTTGATACTGATATTTCTGCTGGATCTTTGCTCTTTTGTAGTCCTGCTTAGAACTGTCCAACAATGTAATATTGCCCATACATTTGTTAGTGCTATGTGTATGCATGTGGAGGTGGGGGCAGGAAATTAGTGTTTGTTTGTTTTGCAGAAATATTCCCAATTGACATAATATAACACAGGCTCTATTGAAATCTAGCAGACACTTCAAATTTTATCATGGGAGAAGCGAGCAGAACTGAGGTAGCACCAAGTATGTCAAATCAGCAGCTGAACAGAGGCATCTAACAAGGTCACCACAGTACATCAAATGAAAGTAAGAGGCAACTGCTTCCTACAGCCTCCTTAGAATAGTCTCACTATGGAGTGGACTGGATTCTTTCCACATGTAAGAGGGTTAAAAAAAACCAACAAAACAGTTGATAACTATGGGAACTACAGATAATAAGTCAAGATTCTCTACATGGGAAGTAATTCTGAAAAGAGTTATCAATATGTAGACACAATAGAGAGGTGACTCAATAAAAAAATGCAGTGACTTTCCCTGGAGTCTCCTGGCAGCTAAACGGTTGTATTGCTTTTAAAATGTTGCATATAGGAACATCCATTTCAGCCTACTAGGTGAGTGTGCTCTTCTAAGATGAACCTTAAATGTGCCCATGTGCTAGTGAAAGCCACCTAGTACTGTGCCCTTAGACCGGTGATACTTATGTACCTAATGGTGTAATTGGAACTTGCATTTCTCACCCTGTCTCCACTAACAAAGTATGCCTGAAGTTCAGAAGCACTGACCCACCAACTGTCAGTATAAAGACTGGCTTGCAAGGCAGAGTTCCAAAACTCATTTAAAAGCTCTGTGGGGCTTATATTGTACTGGCGATTGCTGAGCATTCAAGATATGCTGAAGAACAGTAAGACTTTACTGATGTTTCCTGTTTTAAGCAGCACGAACACCTTAATCTCTTGAACTAATGGTAATTCTCTATTGATGGTAAAGCAAAGGTTGGATATCTGCCATAAAATTTCACTACGCTGCCTGAAAGTTTGTCACTCTAGTGAATATGATACTGGTTCAAAACATTTTGTACCTACAGCCATAACTAGTTAGTCTTGAAAAGACTTCATGGGATAAAGAAAGTTTTAGTAACTAGGTCTACGCAGATGTCTCAAATGTCACAAATCCAGAACAGTGTAAATATTGCATAAAATTGTGTCTCAGCTGTTTTGGATTAGACTACTGTCCTGCTCAAGCTAGTCTAATGGCTTCCCATTTCTTAATTGTCTGCTCAGAGTAGGCTTTTAAGTTGCTAGATATTAGAGTCTGGATGAAAAAAAACCTTAGTGTATGATTTACTGAACTAGATAGCAATGCCCACTAAAACTCTGTGGAAGAAAAAAAAACCCAAAAGACTTCTTTGTTCCCCAAAATGTGCACATTACAAACTTTATGGCAGACAGGTGTACTTGTGTGTTCCAAAATATGCAGTCAACTCTTACTACTTTTCAACAAGAAATGTTGCCAGGTTTCCTGTTATTCCACTTCTCTTTACGGAATCTGTCACGTGGTCTGCTGTTGGAGTAACACTAGAACTAAATCTTGCCAATTGACTCTTCCCCAGGAGAGTGCTGGAAAAAGTCTTTGATGAAGTCATATTGGTAAATGTCTTGGATAGTGGGGATTCAGCACACTTGGCATTAATGAAAAGACCTGAGTTGGGCGTCACACTAACAAAGCTTCACTGCTGGGAACTGACACAGTTTTCAAAATGTGTTTTCATGGATGCAGACACAATGGTAAGTGGCTGTGTCTCATGGTACTTCTCAAAGCCTAGTATCAGGGTTGTTGGATTTTTTTCTGTGGGTTTTTTTTTTTTTTTAAGAGTAGGGATAATAGATGGACTAGTAACAGTAAGAATGTGTGTGCCTTTTAAACTAAATTAACTGTTGTGAAGTCTGTGGGGACTATTTATGTCAAGTATTGTCTTCTGTAACATGAACACTGATAAAAGAACTTTCTTTCATGAATTAGTGTATTTGCCAAAATCCATGAAAAACATGATACAATTCCTAACCTAAAAGCATTTTTTTGAACTTCTTTACAATTAGGTTTTGTCAAATATAGATGAGCTTTTTGAGAGAGAAGAGCTATCTGCAGCACCAGATCCAGGCTGGCCTGACTGTTTTAATTCAGGAGTTTTTGTTTACCGACCTTCCGTTGAAACATACAGTCAGCTGTTACAGTTTGCCACAGAGAAAGGCAGCTTTGATGGTATGTATTAATTTGTATTTCAGTGTAAGTTAGACCAAAATCTAACAGTAATTACTGTTGTCCAGTCTAACAGTATTTGGGATGGCTCAGTAACCGCATACGTCTCATGGGGACTCTGTATGATAGAATTCTCAATGTAACCATGCAAAAATTGTATCCTTCTCAGAAATAGAGGCTATCATTACAATATGTGGTAAAATTACTTTTTTCGGGCTTAATGAAATAAAAACTGAGTTTGGCCTCCAGACTAACAGGTGTAGAATCATATAATAAGAAATGAAACTCCAGTACTATGCTTCAGACATTCCTAACATTCAAGGCTTGGATGTTCTATAGTAACTCAAGCTGCTATAGAAAAAATAGTACTGGTCAACTTGAGCACAGCTTCAGAGAATCAAACATTTGAAGATAGAGAAATCTCTTTGTATGCTATGTGATGGCTTCCTGTCATTATAGGGTAGTGACTGTCCCTTACCCAGTATCAAGTGCATGTAGTAGCCTTGGCTGCTTCCTACCATAGGTTACTTGGGTTCCGCCACTGTACCAGGTTTCAGCTTGAGAAACCAAGTTGTGTCGTCCTGTAAGTCCACTTAATCTGTTACTGTTGCAGGAAAAGCTTATGTCCCTTGGAGACAGCTGTAGTTAAAAGCTTCTGAGTATTACTGTCTCCTGTCACTTAATTTCATTATGTAACTACTGTGGTAGGAAACAAAGTCTAACTGAAAAAAAATATAGAAAACGATGTAAATAAGACCATAAAATGAAACTCTCAGATAAAAGGTAATGTTGACTTACCTCTCAGTACTTTGTGAAAAGTAAAATATTTAGATGTCACTCCTAGTCTGCAGAATAATCCTTGTTACTGTAGGGATTCTTGTAAAGAACATTGAGCAGTTGCATGCTCAATGCTACCTAATGAAAATGAATACTGCCATGTAATAAAGGTCAAAGGTACAAACTGATCACCAGCTATAGCAAAATCTGTAGCATAATTCTGAATTGTTGCATTAAAACAAACAAAACCCACAAAACCAACCAAAGACCCTGTCCTACCCTCCCCCCAAAAAAAAAAACAACCCCACTCCCCCCAAAAGCAACCAATCAAAAAACCCCCAAATGAATAGAACCATTTTTACAATATGCTTTCTGGCATGAATGCTAAAGCCATGCAATGGTGAAACTTCCTCTGTCCTAAACGCAAAGCAATTGTTGCAGCACTTAACAGCAAAAACAGTGGGCTAATTGTTTTGTTATCAAATTTCTGGAACTGTAATTTGTACTTCAGCTTCAAAACCTTAGTTTTTATTAAATGGTAGCACTGGTCTGAGTAATGATGCCATGGAGACCTAGACCATCTGTATAAGCTACTGCTGAGCTCAGGAACTTGGTAGGGAGAAAGGGAATTGAAAAATAAATTGACCTAGAGAGTAATAAAAGGGCCTAGGAAACTTAGTAAGAAAAACCTATGAAGGGTCACTGCTTTTAATGGGACACAGGGATGCAAACTTAACAACCTACCAAACTATGTGTAGTTGAAGTCAAGCTGCAAGTGCCTTGTCTGCAGTAGGAGTAACTAGGGCATAGAAGACCTTCCAGAATATTTCTTGTATGTAACAGCAGACAGCTGCCTCCATTACTGTTGTCCAGAAATGGAAGAATGATGGCTACATATGTAGACATCTACTCTGTCTGTCTAAACTTCACGTTTGTAGATAATAAAGATACAACTACTCTAGATACAATCTAAAAGTAGTGGATAGGAAAGAAAAATTTGGTTTTAGAAGAAATCTGGTAGTACTGCTACCTTAAGAATGTTGCTATTGCTTAGACAATCCTCTTGCTCTTTAGCCTGGGATCCAAAATAGTCTTGCTGTATTGTACCTCGATATGTATTTGTAAATACGTAGTTAATATTAAGTACTGCCTGATTTTTCACCTTATGTGTGAGATCCTGTTTATATAACAATACTCCTGTTGAAGTCTGAATTAGGACAGCTAGATACTGCTTTCATTGTCTGCTTTGGCACAAATGCATGCAATCTGAAAAAAGGCCAAGGACATAAACCAATCTGAGCAAGAGAAAGTCCTGCAGAGTAAGTTAAATACATGGTTGCTGCCCCTTCGGTTCTCTTATGATGGATACCAGTTTTTCAAAAGTGCTTTCCTTCCTTTACGGATTGAGAGGCAAGTCAGAGGTTTGAAATTGCTGGACTGAGTCTCTGGCTGTTTCTCATTCTGCAATCTGCATGTATGCTGACAGCTGTAACAGGATACCTAGAATTTATATTTGTCAGTGTACTGTCCGTACATCTAAGTTTATGCCCAGCGTCTAGATACTTCAGCTGCAAAAAGCAAATTCTGCTCAAATGGCACTGATGGTATAAACCTTAATACTGCCCTAAATCGAATCATAGGCCAATAAAAACCTTTTCCTGAGTCAGCAGAGACTGAGTCCTTAAGAAAATGAAAGATTAAAATGAAACATTGTCTGCTAACTAAGCTATCTATTTACCTACCCCTTAGTAATACTACTTGTGCATGCAGTGATAGGTGAAAGAATACAGCAAGTGAAAGTCAGAGGACTCTCTTCAATCTCCTTGATAAGAGGGATTATTACCATTTAAAGACTAATCGTATTCATTGTGATAAAGAATGAATGGATGTAGATAAATAGGTTTTTACTTCTCAGTTGCTGCTTATAAACTAGTCTACTCTGGCCTGAAGACTATATTTATTTTTTAGCTAATCTACTACTGAGATACCAAACAACTTCAGATTTACTTAACTTTGTAACAACCTCTACTTGCAAACTAAGACATGACCCTTCTGAACACAGATTGTTATCCTCATTTAGTGGTTAGTCAGGAGCTTTTTAGTACAGAATTAGGAACACCTGTTATCTGTTAAGGAATTTGATGGAGTTTTACTATAATTGTCAACAAGACTACATGTGCTTTTCTTATCAGATCAGTGTGGAGGTAGATGCATCTGGCACTGCAGGTCTAACAGGCCACTGATACCCTAACTCTGTCAGGGAGATGATGTTGGTCATGCATCTGTAAGCATAAGTAATAAAACTTATTGCTGCCATTTGATCTTCTGAGCTACAGCTGAGCAGTGCTCAGTTGTACTGTTTTATTGTGGGGTGTTATTGCTGTGTTATACCAATTGAACTTAAGCTATAAAAGAAACTGAATGGCAGAGTTTGTGAGCAGCTTCCTATCTTTAACAAAAGTAACCCCAAAATATGCTATTTCATTCTCTGCATTTTTGGAATATTCAAAGGCTGCAAGGTTTACAGGGTTGTTCACAAATAGAACTGTAGTGCTCTGTGCCAGACTTCAACAGGACATGATAACTGCATTACCAACTCCTGCTTAGTAAAGTGACTGAAAAAGATCTTCAAATAGCTGTCTGATGCTCGTGGCCTATTAATGCTTTCTCTTTTAGGTGCAGATCAGGGGTTATTAAACACCTTCTTCAGCAGCTGGGCAACGACAGACATGAGCAAACATCTACCGTTTATTTATAATTTGAGCAGCACTTCTGTATATTCCTACCTTCCAGCATTTAAAGCGTAAGTTGAAAACTTCAAGAACACCTGCAGAGCTTACATAAACTAATTTCTTGTAACAGAATGAAGAGGCATGATGTGAGCTTATGCAGGTTTTTTAGAAGTAGGCTGTTTCTCCCACTCAAAATATTGTAATTTCTTCTCTTGAAAAAAAAAAAGTTGAATTGATGAAAATCAAATTCAGCTGTATCTGCAGCTTAAACCACTCATCCCTGGTGATAACATGGAAGTTGAGTAAACGCATTTGACAGGTCACTTGCAAAAGGAAAAAACACTCCTCCAGGAAAGGATACGTCTAGACAAGTTCGAACCAATGGCAGTAGGCTCTTTAATCAACTTGAGCTGACTTTCAGCATGTCACTGTGGTTTCCTTCCCACTTAGATAACTTGCCCTTTCTTCACTCCAGTTACTTAGGGTATTTAACAACCAGTAGTTACAGTTTCATCTAATCAACCTATACCGTTAAAATAAGTGTGGTGAACAAAGATTTGTATCAAGCTAGAATTCTCTCCTAACAGTCTTTCTAGACCTCTCTCAGTTCCTTAAGTAACAGCGAGATTGAACAAAGAATACAGCCAACCACATATCATTGCATATCATTGCATATTTCCTCTGTGACAAAGCCTGTATCCTCCCTAGCTAGCAGTGTTAGTGTGGCATGTGAGTAAACTGTATGTCAGAGGCGGGGTTGCTCAAAGTGTTATAGCAATCCAGGAGAAAGGGGGCGGGGTGAGGGGGGAAAGAAGGGAAACTGAAGTGTTACACAGAAACTCTTCATCTATTATGAGCTACAGAAGTTGGAGGCAAGGAAGAGGGAAAGTGCCAAGTGCATAAAAACAATCTGATCTCTGAATGACATCAGGTTACTAGTGTCTAAAGCAGCAGCTGGCATAAGCAGGCCTTGCTGGCTCAAGGTCAAACTATGTCTTGTGATCAGAATACTATTTGGAATCTTGTCATGCTAAAAGTGGAACACTTATTTAAAGAAATATATGCAAGCCTCAGAATGACTAAGTAGCTGGATAGCATTTGATAAACTAACATCTATTGTAAAGTATGCCCTCTTTCCATTGCTGGCTGTTAGTCACATGACCTTAATTTTACAAATTACTTAGTTGCCACAGAACACTAATTGGATCTGGGAGTTCTTGACAAAAATTACCTTCAACTGATTGAATCAGTTGCTTAACTGAATTCATCAGACCTTCAAAAATAGAATGCTGGAAGTGCAGCCCTTGTAAGCAACACTCCCTGCTCAATAGGTGGAACAAGTTCCCTTGGTTAGATCAACAGCTACACTCTTGATGATCAACAGTTAGAATATAGTGAAATTTAAACCTACTGACAGTAATAGCTAAGTTTTTTGCAGCTTTGTACAGTGAGACTAGATTTCACAGCAGTCTCAGTAATCCTTTTTCCAAAGGAAAATGCCAATTCATGACAAATGCTCTCTGACTTCAAAACATTGATGAAGGACTTTTCTGGGAGATGTGGAAAGACAGATTAGTTGCTGAGGCCAGTGTGGACATAAAGCTTCCTAACAGTTGAGCTTAAATGCCCAAATAAAGTATTGCAGGTCCAGAAAGTATCTAGAAAGCAGATGCTGAAAACATTGTAGAAGCTTGGCATCTGTTGTTCTGACTGTAAGTAGACAGGATACCAAGAGTATACTTCTCTATTTGCAACAAATGTCGTGATACTTCTTATGCATTCTATTCTCTAGCTTAACTTCCCTTGATTTTTGAACAATAAGTTTCCTTAGAACAGCAGCAGCCCAAGATGAAGAAAACTCAGGTTTAGTACTGACAGCTAATAAAACTAAGGTAGTCCCCTTACACTAAATCTTGACTTTTGGGGTTTAAAGTTAAAGCCCAGTAACTGACCTCTTGAAGACACTTTTTTTCATGCAGTTAAAGCAAATACTTGGCCTTTCATGCACACACAAGTCTTCATTCTGCAGTAAGTTCAGTTGTATTGAAAACATTGAAATATAGTCAAGGACCTTAAAATAGTATGAAACCTACAACCCCATCCAAATGCATACTTGGTTTGAATAATCTATGGCTTTTGAAACACACCCGTATTGTCTCCGTACACAAAACTCTTTAACACCCGAGTCCTGGTCAAAATGACCAGCATCTGCTTAATAAAACATACGCAAAGCTACTTGATGTTACTCTCCACTTCAGTCATATTATGTTGACAAGAAAGCCTAATGTGATACAAACTGAACTAGGTGAGATAGTCACTGTTAGCAGACAGACTAGTATTGCTTGTTCACAAAATTGACTCAAGCTAAAACCCAGCTCTCAACTGTAGGAGAATGACATGAATGTTGTTTCTTTCAGTGTTTAGTTCTTTACTTGAGAAGAGGTGCATCTCATCTTTACTTTTAATACAGAAGAACATACTGATAACAGCTGGGAAAAAGCTAGAAGTCCATATTGAAAATAGTTTAAATGGTTTCAAAAAGAAACAAAAACAACCCACTACCAAACTCACGCATGGTTGCCCTAAGGTTGTTTAGGAAGTAAGGGTTGTCTAAGCAAGACCCTGCTGCACCAAGATCAGGAGTGTTCTGAAATGCCTTGGTTATACAAAGTTGCTATTTTTCAAGGACATGGTCTCCTTGCAGCAGAGCCATCCAATGATACATTTCTACAGGGCTATAAACTGAAAGGGTAACTCTTAACACTGACTGTTCTCTACATAATACTTGTAATGCTTAACTCTCTGGCTTGCTGACTTTGGAGTAGAATCTTTTTCACTTTTAAAACCAGTTCCGATTGCAACGGCTGCTTGAGACTGCTCTCCCCTGAGCTATGGACATGACCCTAAAGACTTGAGTTGTCTGTAAGTATTTAAATAGCCCAGACCACTAGGTTTTGGCTGTATTCTGACTAGTGCAATGTAGAATTCAGCTTGCATTTTTTCCATTGTTTCACAATGCTTTCAGTCCCAATAGGCCTTGGCAGTTTGACCATTTAGCATTTAGCCACCTAAATATTCATATTTCTGTTTTCTGGACAAATACAGAAATAACAGGTTAAAAAAAGTTATGTCTGACTGTCTAAACTTGTTTTCTAGACACATGTACAAACTGACTTCTAAAATTTTTCTGCCCAACAGGTTTGGTGCAAATACTAAGGTAGTGCATTTCCTGGGAAGCACAAAGCCGTGGAACTATACATATGACTCCAGAACAAAAAGCATAAAGGGCAACATGGATGACCCTAAAATAGTTCACCCAGAATTCCTCAACATGTGGTGGGATACCTACATAGCTGATGTTTTACCATTACTAGAACAGCATGGAATTGTTAAAGAAATTCCTACAGGGGTAAATATGGTACGTGCTCTAATAATCTTGTACATCCATACCTAAGTATGGATGACAGGTTATTTACCATTGCATCAATGTCCCTTCCCTCTGTCCATCTCAAAGCATGGGTGTGGTTTAGTTTGTGGGATGCAGGGTATTTTAGTTTTGTCTTTTTAAGCTTGGAATAAATAATACTATAAAAGAGAAGCATGCTAGACAGGTCTTGGACATGGCTGTATGCTTGCCTAAAACAAACTGTGTACATAGTTAATGTAGCACCAGGTCTTATACTGTAGTAACTTCTTTGATGTAGTAACTTCTTTAATTTATACAGAGAAGGGTCTAAGTCTTAATGTGTTGCAGCTAATAAGGTTCTCAAGCAGAAGAACCCCAGTTCAGCATGCAAATATGTACATACAGATCTTGCATGGTGAATCACATTGCCTAGGACAACCAAAATAATGCTTCTAACTCTAGTTCTCATTCACAGAGTTTAGCAGCCTGCATCTGACTGCGGACTTCTTAGTTTTAGCTTAGTACATGAGCCAGTTTAAGTTCTCAGCCTTTTTAAGACCAAAGTTATTGACCTCTTCAGATGTGCTTCTCTTGGTAATCTTGCATCTTTCTAACAAACTATTTGCAGCTATCGGGCTTGGTCTATACTCTGGCTTTCTCTTGTGGCTTCTGTAGAGAGGTATGAAGAACTGAAATTTTACTTTTTTCTTTTTTCCCCTTGCTAACATCTGTAACTCTGCTTTGTTATTTTGCTAGGAAAGCTGCACAATCCCTACCCATTGGCAATGCTTGCTATTGCGCATGATAACATCAACTTTGTTGTCCCATTCTATGGCCTATAGCTCGCTTTAGCTGCACAAAGTATTTCTATATTTTTACTCTACCTTTCCTTTTAGGCAGAAGTTACAGAGGCAGTGTCCCACGTATCAGTATCACCACTATTACCAACTGAATCTTCAGAAGAACGCAAGGAACGGTGGGAACAGGGCCAAGCTGACTATATGGGAGTGGATTCCTTTGACAACATCAAGAAGAAACTTGATACCTACCTTCAGTAGAAGTGCCTGTCTCAAACAGTGGTGATGCAAGGACTTGTTCCAGAACTAACAGCTAGAAAGGTATAGATGGTGGTCAGTTACACTTGCTAGTAGCTTGAGGAAAAACTTCTTGGCTGAAGGCCTCTGCAGTGCTACAGATGAAGACTGAGCAAAAGCTAGGAAGCAGAATCCTTGGGCCACCTATTACTGCCCAATTTCCAATTCTCCATACTAGATAAAGCCAGGTATTTTCAGCTTAAAATTTCTTCTGTTTTGATCAATTGGCTCAACATATTCTTTAAACTGGGTTTGTTACCTCACCTCATTAGTGATTAGCATTGATTCCTTTGCTTGCTGTTTTAGATGTAAAATCTAATTCATGGGATTGCTCATACACTGGAGTGGTAGCCATTCTGCTTTACCATAAATGTATTAATGACACTGGGATACATACATGTAACAGTAATAGCACTGCTTTGCTCTTCCAGTCACAATTGCACTGAAATTTTGACCAGGTTCTTACGCACAGTGCCTGCAGCATGGCAGAATGCGTTTTTCAGTTCTGTATACTATGGGACTAGTAAACTGAGTTTTATCTGTTCCTTGCAATGTTGCACTTGATACAAAAATAAAAAGTTGTCATGCATTTCTGTCTTCCCTAAACTCTTGAGCAATTAAAAAAGGAGCTTTAAAGCAGTCTAACTAAAATATTCAACAGGTATAAATATCCCTTAAGCTTTGCTGATCTTACTCAAGCTCTCATTAGCAAATGTCCATCTTTTAGTTCATAATTATTTAGAAGTACTTAGTCATTTGCTAGGGAGTTGTTTAGGGCCAATCCCTGTATTAACTTGACATAAATATAGGACAGGGCACATGAGGAAGTACCTGCTGAAGGTGTTTACATTAGTAACTTGACGTTTGGGAAGAAGGCATCCTTCTTTCAAGTGACTAAAGAAACACCATCCCTAAAATGTAAGCCCTGTACACTGAACTTAGTCATAAAAACAACTGTGATACTACTTCGGCAAAGAAAGATTACATAGCTGCTTAAGTAACTGCACCTACCTTGGTAAGGAAAACTACTCTTTCCATGTATAAAGACAGTAAAGGAAGTGCTTTTTTTGCCACACTCAGGCTACATGTACTCCAAGATACATGGAAAAACAGTAAAAATAAAGCATGCTGATGACAGACAGATTGCCTGTCATCTGTACTAAGGTTTTCTATCCTTTAGTCAAAAGTCTAAACAGAGCAAAATTGGTGTTTTTTGACAGCTGTACCTTGCACAAATCCAGAAACACTAAGAAAATATTAACTCCTTATTTCCTAGCAAAGGAGGATTTTGGCTGGAATTTAGTGATGATGCTAAATCTTGAGCCTAGAGATAAAATAAACAATCACCAAGCTCTCACCATTTGCTGGTAAAGCAGAAGACATAATATGACTATAAGGGTTGGTCTATTTTAACTTGTTTTCACTACTCAATTCCTCTATGATTTAGTTGTCCACCATTTAGAAAAAATGCTAAAAGATGAGGTCCAAACCAATGTAGCTTGTAACTACTTAAAAGAACATAGTATCTGAACTGCAGGTTGTAACTAGCCCTTTCCTGTATGGGTTTTTCTTTTGCTGTGTTTTTTTGTTTGTTTGTTTTGTTTTGTTTGTTATTTTAACATATAAATTTGAAGTTGTGTGAAAGCAGGAGGGATTACTAGTTACAGTCTGTAATGACAGAAGTATACTTTATCAAACAAATATTGGAGAGTTCTGCATACTCAAAGACTACTCTATGGAAAATAGTAACATACTCTTTTAAAGCCAAACAGTCTACATTGTCCTCCCTTTGTCTGTATTCATACTGGAGAGTAGGGACATTACTTCTTTTTAAGCTTAGTTGGAGAGAACCAAGAAAGTATAAAAGTATGATACTCATTACCTGCCTGAAAATTTGGTTTAGCATGTATGTTTCATTACATTAATACAATAAGATAAGGAGAGATGCTGAATAAAATGAAAACCAGCATGTTTTGGGTTAACAAATACAGTTAGTGAAGAAAGATAACCTGTGAAAAGAATTCTGCTGTAGCCTCTGTAACTCATACTATGATCAAGTGTTTAACCACGGCCTCAGGAAAGGTATGACATCTATACCAAATTCTATGCAGCTTATTTTGAATAAAATGACCTTTATGTCATTGTTTGCCACTATTTCCTTCACAATTGCTGTAGGCAGCTTTTGCAGAAAAGCAAAAATCCCTTTTTTCCCTTGCAGTAGCATCACTTGATACATCAAACAGTTTTCTGCTCTAATCTGAACATACTCAAAACAGCACTGTACTCTAAACATCATTATTCAGAAGAATCACAGCACTGCTTAGATTGTAACTCAAATATTGGAACTTCATTTGCCACTATGAAGCCTATAATCTAAGGTTTTCCTTAAATGGTGACAGCTCAGAGCAACTCTTAAAAGCTTAAGAAGCATTTTTTCCATATACATCTTTGTTTTATGTATAAGGTAAGAAAAAAAAAAAAGGAACAAAAACCTCCAAACAAACAAACAAAACCCAATTAAAATCAGAATCACAGGCTACTAACTCAATCTTTGGAATTAAAAATAATTCCAAAAGCTTACTCCTAGAACATACCATTCAAACTTCATGAAAGAGAATGCCAAGAGCCAAAGATTACTTACAGATCATGAAAAGCAGAAGAAAAATCCCAAACAGTCAGAACACCAAGGTGTTTAACTACTTGCTTACTGAACAGCTCCATCAAATCAGACAGGACTTTTCTGTGCTCAGGTTTTACATCTTTTCTCTCAGATATATTAATGGCTTTCTTGGGAGAGACCATAAAGCTTAGTACTACCTTCAGTGAGTTATATATGGCTTTGGAACTTGGAAATAATAATCTAATAGATGAGAAAAATACTAGTAATTTGTTTTAGTTGTTTTCATAATCATACTAAGCCATTTTACAAAATGTCAGCATATGTTCACATAAGTAATGATGTAGCTTGACTAGCCATAGAAAAGGTACTCTTGCCTGTGAAATTCTTACTTGCAAAATGGACATAACAAAAAAAAGGCCAAATCCTCCTTCATAATTGCAAATTATTTTTCCAGCTTATCTCTAAATATCAAAATCTGTAACAGCAAAACACGAAGTTTAACTTACATAAACTCTATGCCAAACAAAAAAAAAAAAAAACAAAACACAAAAAAAAAACCAAAAATGGCACTTAAAACCCAATTTCAATCAGGTTTAGCTGTCTTCTTGTTCTTTTTCAGCTTTCCAGTGGCAATCAGGTACTGGGGTTCATGCTGTCTTCCATTGTTTGTGTCCTTCTAATTCTTTCTCTAACAGACTTAAAGTATGCCCTTCTCCATAGCTAAGGTCCTGGCTCTCCAAAAGTGGCATCAGTTTGATAGTTTTCTTGTTTTTACTTCCTTTCTCACTCCTTTCATTAGCCCTCTTGCTTCAGATAGTAGATATCTTCCCTTTATTTCTCAGTCCTTTTCCACTTCCTATGTTTGCAATTCATCTTATAATCAGCAGGTTGGTATTTTCAGACGTAAGAGGTGAAAGGCTTTACAAGCTTTACGGACTCCATTTCTCTGCTGTCAAGTACACTTCCCAAATCTAAACAGGACATAGATACAGCAATCTATGACTACAATTCGAAGTCTGAGCATCACAGTGAAGGGAGCAGAATATGTGTTAGGTAAACACATTATCAGAAGACAAGAATCAAATGGAAAGAAAGGAACAGACAATAAATATTCAGCTAATGCTCAACTGAGATTCTTTAGTGCTGTTTTTTACTCTGTGGGTGTAGTTTACCAAATTCTTCCTCCATAAGTCAAGTGGCATGCAGATCAACATTCCATTGAGACATATGTATGGAAGTGAAAAATGTGTCATTTTTCCACTGCAAGTGGAAAAGCAGTAAAGGAAAACTGTTACAAAGCTGGCAGCTATAAAATAATTTGTTTAAATTTATTTTGCAAGGACTACCTCATTCACTGACACATGAGTGGATCAGATTCTACTTTGCATCTACCACGGTCTTATTGTTCAAAGTGTCTATTGAAATTACTAGATAGCATATTGCAATTCATGCCTATGATTCTAGCATTTCATAAAAAAAAACTTTACAAAAATCATTGGAGTTCTGTTAAGTAAAATATTAAAAGTGTTTCACAAATTTAAGTACTGCCTTTTTACTAACTCCTGGGAAGTAATTATCAGAGGAACTCCCTCCTGCACCTGTATATTATTCAGAAATAGTAAAAAGTACTTTTAAAATTTTGAATTAAATACCTTCTTTGGACATAGCCTGCAAAAGTAAGAATTCTTATGATGTGTCACTGACCACCTTTTCTGAAACAATCGGTCCAGATGATCTCTTTGTTTATCAGGCAATACTAAGATAGAAACATGAAACTAATTGATTTAGAGTGGGTTTTGTCTGAAGGAGAAGACACATTATTTACCTTTTATTACCTTTTCACCTCTAAAATGAGATGAAACGCTTGCAGATAATGATGCCTTAGATTTTAGCTTTTATATTTTTCAGCTTCTGTACTGCTTTAGTGAGTAGCTCAGAGTTTCATATTAAGGGATGGTAAGCTCTCTTCACAGAGTAGCTAGACAAGACAATTCCTTTCCTAGCTTGGGACCAAGGACAACCACCCAAATTTCAGGCCCAAGAACATAAACAACATGGACTGAGGAGAGAAAAACAAGAAGGATGGGACTTCATAACCTAAAGCTATAATTGGACAATTAACTCCAATATGCTAATGGACCAGAACTTATAAAAGTGAGAGACCTTGTGACTGGTGGTCCATTTTTTTGTGACCATTTTGGGTTCATCTTGGATGTAGCTCTGGCTGGGCTCTTGGGCTGCCCAAGGTGTATCCATTGAGGCCTTTTAATAAATTCCTACTTTAGTCTTTAACTCCATCCAGCCTCTGTTCTAGGTCAGCCTTGGTATGGCATCAGTTAGAATGCATGAATACACGTTTTGGTTTTGAGGCGTTTTTTCTGCTCTTAAGTACTGTACTAACAAGCAACCTTTTGAAGAAATGAACACTGAAAAAATTTCAGGAGTTTGCATGCTTCTAAATTAACATTTAGGAGCAAATTAGTTTTTATAATTTATTTGAAGCATTTATATTTTGAGCACAAAGACAGCAAAACTGAAAATTAACATGGGACATGTAATCTGAAGAGAAGTATTATCCAAAATATTAAATATGTTATTTATGTAAAATACCATAGGATCAAACTATAAATCAATCAGAGCCTTAACTTCATTAAATATTTTTTGTTATATTTCACTTGCTGAAGGCTTTTTGGTAGCAAAGGCTCCTGCTGCAAGTTCCCTCTTCTTGTTCTGAATTTTCAGGATATTATCTTCTACTGAATCCTTCACAATAAACAAAAAAAAAAAAACAAAAACAAAAACAAAAAAGACACCCACCCAAACTACTGAAATAAAGATGTTACTTTTCTCTAAATAAAACTTTAAGATGAGAAGTTTAGGTATTCTGGGAAAAATGCTAGGGGGCTGAGTATCCTAAGTACAGTTGCATTATTTAGTTATTAATTTGTAATCACAGAGAAAAGGGTTGT